ACTTTAAATTGCACTCAGAGATCTCAGATCCAGATGTTTTGTCTTTCCAAACATCCAACATCAGATTTAAATAAATCTGAAGGAACCAGTCAGAGATTATAAATTATTTCAACACGTCCATCAGATTATCAGGTAAACTTTTCTCTCTAAATAAATAATCTGCATTCACCAATTCCAGCCTGTCCAACGATCCAGGACATTCTGATGAAGAGCATCACCCCCCAGATGTTCAGCATGCAGCGCACCTGCAACACACACAGTAAACCTGTGATAAATAACGTTCTTTATCCGTTTAGCATCTTTAGCTTCACGCAGACACTGACCAGGACTCCTTTGATCCAACCAAACTTGACGGTTCCTCCTTTTGCCTCCTTGGCCATCAAAGCTGCCGCCTCCTCGGCTGCTGATGGCTCCTCTCCATTGGCCAGGCCGTCCTCAAACGGCTCCTGAGGAGACGAAATGAACAAAGTCGGAAAGGTGCTGAATTTATTTCACTTTTAAATATATTTAACATCACAAATACATCTCAGAAGTGGAAATGGGCTCCACAGAATTGGATTAAAATCCTTTTTTAAATGAATTTTTCATATATTTTTTATAATCCACGGCTATTTTAAACGTTCTGGTCTATGGAGGACCGAACCTGACATAATTGGAGATAAATGTGGACGTACAACAACAACGTACAATATATATTATTATTTATCATTTATAACAGCAGTTTTACATAATCACAATTATTTCATTGTACATTTTTTTACAATCTTATTTTTATAAATCCTTTTATTTTATTATCTCTTTTTATTTTTGCTAAGTTTTCAATTACTTTTTAATCATACAACTTTTTATTTATGGTCACAATAATTAATATGTATTTGTTTGCTTTTTTGTCACCTTATTTATCAGGCATTGATTTATTTTCACCTCTAACACCTCTTTGTATTTTCTCACCTCCTCTGTTTTCTCCTTCGTCCGTTTTATTAACGTACTTTTCCCCTCACTTTGTCTTTTCCAATTACGGCAGGATCGGTCCTCCATACAGCAGAACAAAATGTAATGATTTAGTTCATCAAGCATATTTAACACAATTTTTAAATCAGTTTTGTTGAATATCTGCAACAAATAAACAAAAACAAGTCAATTTAATAGATCGGATCTGAAAAACTGAGAAAGAACTAAATGTAAAACCAAATTATTTTATTAACCAATTATCTGTTAATGAACTGAGAATGGACTGTTTGTTGTTTGTTAAACAAGATCACGTTGAACACTTATAAAAATGATTTTTTTCTGACGTTTTAAAGGATTTTACTCCAAAAACTGAAATTATGCTGCCTTCAGGCCTCCTTTAAAAGACATGGTCTGAACAGAATACACCTGTTTTGATAAAAACAGGAAAAGATATAAGAGAACAAGTGGAGTTTAGTTCAGTTTGTCTTCTCACACGGAGCGAAATGAAAATTAAGAGCAACGTTTGAAAACAGAGGAAGAAAGATTCACTTTTTAAAAACCATCAGATCCCATAAACCTTCCTAAAACGACCACAGCTGCTCTGCTGGATCAATAACGGCGCTGATGGAAGCTCAGCTGAAAGTGTTTTTGTGCTTCTCTTTATTTACATTGTTCATTTGAGACCAACAAGACAAACAGGAGTCCTGCGGTTTCCTGACATCCTTCCATTTGGTTCTCAGAAACATCATCTTCTGGACAAACTGACATCTTTTCTAAAACATATAGCTTTTGTAACTTGATGAAAGTGAGCTTCAGTCAGTCTGATGATGAGTGAACCCACATGTCTGTCGGCTCAATAAAAACACTGACAGAGAACTTAAAAAGAACTAGACGTGGGTTTTTACCATGTAAAAACAAGTGTGCATTGCCTTTGCCTGCAGCTTTGAACTGTGACCAAGTTGAAATGTGTTTGCTAATCAAGTACCAGCTTGTGTCTGCCAAGTCAGCAGTTGTTTGAAATGAGGGTAATTGTGTGAGAATATGACAATCAGAAAATATGTAGTTGTAATGAAACATTTTGTTTATGGCTGGGATTGAACGCTGATCTCCCTCATGAAAGCCCATGTTCACCATGAGACTATAGGAGCTCTCCCAGTGTTAAGTTTGCATGTGTGCTGAAAGAGGCCAAATTACCAATGCAATTGTTGACACTAAACTGCAATATATTACAACAATGAAGGAATATTAGGACAATATTATAGTGAAATATCAAAAATACAATCATGTTTGTATTGTAAACACTGAACTACTGCTGTCCCCCTACTACAGCGCTCCCATTGGCAGTATCACTCCACCCCCTGTTAACAATGGGTATTAATTAGGTGTGAACGATAGCCATGTGATGTGAGTATCAGTCACCTGGAGGCAGGACTCAAAAGCCTGAATTTTGCCTGAAACTCTCAGACTGAAGAAGTCTCTTGGAAGAGAGACGAAACGTTTCATTAAAGAAGAACCCGTCCAGAAGACCTATACAATTTTTTTTCTACTGAACTACTGAGTTTAAATATTATTAAACTATGGTTCATTTCTGAGTAGATACAGCATGGGGCAGTATTGGACCAATGCAAGGCTCCATTGACTCCCATTATTTGATTTTAAACATTAATATTTCAAAAATTATAAGTTGTACAGGCACCAAAAGGCATAGCAACCATTTGACACAGGAGCTTTACAGATATAAATTACAATGGCATCTCTAGGACAAAGTATGCAGGAGGAGAAGCATGGCAAAGTGGAGATGACTTGGATGGGAAACGAATCACAATAGTGTGCTGACAAGAAGCAGAATAATCAACAAAACCCAGAGAGAAATATTTTAGCTTTAAGGTTCAAGTTTGAAAACTTTAATAGAAGCTCTTAATAATGTCTCCTCACCACCTCCTGATGAGTTCAGAACCAGTCCGTTTCAGTTAAATTATAATTTATATATTATAACAAACCATTTATTTTATTTAAAGAAACTATTGGCTCTTTAAAAGGCTCTCAAAGCAAAGCTGGATTTTTATAACGAGTCAACAAATAAATGATGTATCCTTAGAGTCGGGTTCAATTAGAGTTCAATAAAAAGCTTTTAAAATATGAACCGCAACTAATTTAAGACCAGTTTTATACTTTTAGTCCAATAAAACAAAAAAGCTCCGTTTGATGATGTCAATTATTAATCGTGTTGGATAAATAAGAGATGAGAAATCCAGTAAAGTTGCACAAAATGTTTGGTTTGTGCCTCCTGAAATACATTTTGTCTTAAGAGTTGGATTATTTGACTGCAGTTTTTTTTTTTTTTTTTTTGAGGAACCATCTGGACAGATTTGTGTTTCAGTGTTTTTGTGTGTTTAAATCCAGATTTAAACACAATGAGGAGCAGAGCCTTGAAAAATAAAGAAAATAAACTTAAATAAAATAAAATAAAAACTCAACTCGTCAAATTGAATCGTGGTAAAGAAAATTTAACAACCAGGTCACAATTTGAAAATATACCCAGGATTGGTGTCCTTGATTCTGGGCTCAAAGATAATAAACAGAAAAGTGGAAGAGAAAAACTTCGTTTCTGGTTGAAACAGTCTTTTCTGCATGTGTATGGAGCTAACTTAGGGCCATGAGTTTTGTTCAAAAATAAAAAAGTTTTTGA